CGTTGACTCCTAATGTCTCGTGAATTTATGTATTATTTTATAAATTAAAGGAGTAAAATAATTATTTCTTAAAATAATTATTTCTATTATTATTAAATAAAAAGAAGTACGATATTAATCTCTAGATAAACTGTTCCTTGGGGAGACTCATTACCTCAAAACTCTAATATTCGAGAATTATATTAACAAAACTCGCCAACACCTGAACCACCGAAGCAGATGTACATATGTTATTATGCCCAACACGATTTTTGTGATCAATAAGGCATTCGCCTTTCCTATAAACTCTACTTTGGAGAAACCATTTAATAAAGAGTAAGCGACAAATTTTTGTATTAAAAGAATTAATATTTTTGTATTTAAAAAATTAATATTTTTTTATTTAAAAAGTAAATAGAATTATGGTTAATTATGCTTGTATATTCTTCGAGCTTTTTAGAATTTCGATAATATGATAATAAAATAATGATAAGATAATAAATAGATAATGAATAGATAATAAAATTTTAAAAAAGTAGGTAGAATATATAACCCATACACCACACAGAATTTGCAGCAATATTGCTACAAAATCTTTGCAATATTGCTGCAAACATAGAATATTGCTGCAGTGTTGCTGCAACTTTTGTGCAATTGTGTACTGTAGGAGAATTTTTTATAAATTATGTTCTAAGCATAGTTTGTATCACAAAAATTGTAGTCATTAATCATCAATGTGATTTATTGATACGATTTAATATTATTAATTATGCAATATTCAATAAAAGACTGAATGTGTTTCAGATTGATAACTTTAATGGCATCTGGTATAATGACGCGAGAGAAAATGAAAAATCTACCAATTGCGCAAGTATGTCCGCTGGATCTTCGATCCAGTGAAAGACGATTGTCAATTGCCGATCTATCTTTAACGTTTAAAGTGGTCTTTGCTGGATATATGATCGCGATGATTATTTTTGTTCTCGAGATATTAATTAATTGGTTGGTGAAATCTTACAAACGGCAAAAGAAAATCAGTAAATGGTCCGATCGCGCGTTCTCCTGCAAGTGGAAACGGAAATCAAATGATTCTTTAATCCCGCAATTGGTCTACACTACCAAGTATCAGCTGTTCGATAAACGAAACATACAGCCGCCGTTTTCAAACATCCCATACGATATCGTTCAGGGAAAGAAGTATTGCATTAATGGTCGTGATTATTACATTGTGTTCGATCGTTATGGTGATCAAAGATTAATACCTATTCGCACGCCATCCGCGTTTCTATTTCAATACACGGCGTAATAAAGGGATAATTTACGTCTAACGAACCATAGCAAATTACCAATGGAATTTATTTAAAATTTTAACAATTTCGTATAAATTGCATGCTAAACGCTAAATTCGTATGCGAAAAATTGTATAGTCATCAATCATGCAGTCATTCATTGCCATAATCTAGTCATTTAGATCTACGAATAGTGTTTCCAGTTGTAGAACTCTATGTACACTTTATGTGCAGGTACTAATGATTTTTTAAATGTATATATATATACTGGTATGCATAACATAATATAGAGAAATAGATAGAAATATATGTGATAGTTAGTGTATTAAAAAAATAAATAAGTTAAAAAATATTTCTTTTTGTTTAAAAGATAAATTCTTAGCCTTCACAAAGAATTTCTTTAAAAAAATAAATAAAAAGACAATTTTATTATCAGTTAAATATCAATAATTTTTTCCACATTCCTAAATATTAATCCATGTTTATTTTTTATTTTATTTAAACAAATACTGTATATATCATATTTATTATAATAAAGAAGATTAATGTATTCAGAGTTGGGTATTAACTAGTTAAAACATTAAAAGTTAAAAAAAAAGTTAAAAAGTTAATAACTTTTAACTTAACTTAAGTTAATTTTAAATGCATTAATTTTTTTAACTTAATTTAGTTACTTGATTATTTCTACATATATACACTTTAATTTATTAACTTTTTTAAATTAAAAATTTTTCTATCTTTTAATGCTAATATTTTTTTCTATAAAATCTTAAACATTCAAAAATTAATTTAAAAAAAGTTCAACGATTTTATGATTACAGACTCTATAATAAGAGTCACACCATACAGTAGCCAATTTTTATTGGCTCACTAGGTTTTGTCAATTCCAGCTTATATTTGAATCGCACTAATTTTTGGTATTATAAACATTATATTTTAGCAACATAAATATGAAATGAGCCGTAGATGAAGAATTGTTGTAAAACAGTGCTACACATCCACTCATTTTCTAAATTTTTACGTATATTTTTTGTAACAAATATCTAGTCCATGTAGTCGTAAACATACATGAGCAGTTGTTTCGGAAGTTAAAGGTAGTTAGATAAAGGTTAAAGAAAGAAAGATAATGCAAATAATATATACCCTTCTCTCTGGCAAGATTTTGATAAAAACGCCTTATGGTGTAACTCTTATTATATATATATATAAGTAACTTACTGTGAATAAAAGAATTAAATTTATTTAATAATCTATATTTTAAGTGTTATTTAAAATAATCTCATTTTAAGAAAAATTAGGACATTTTTATCTCAAAAATAATTTTTTTCAAAATTAACTTTTTTTAAAACTTAA